TGCCACAGCTCGCCTTTGGAAGCAAGTGCCGGAGGCAAAGGGTTGTGGAGGGCTCTGGGAGCGGGGCTCTGACTGTGGCTGAGTCACTATGTAATTGGATCACACCCTTGCTCCATAGCCCTCGATGGCTCCCCACTGCCTCAGGACAAAGTCCTAAAGACTTCAACCAGACCCAGCCTACAACCAAAGCCGGCCCCTCTGCCATGCTTCCTGCAGAGCAACCTCATCAGATTGGAGCATGTGCTTGAGTAACAAGGCCCCTCCTCCCCTCTCTTCCCCTCCCCTCTGTCCTTTTCCTCTTTCCCCCTCCCTTCCCCTCCCCTTCTCCCCTCTCCTTCCTTCCCCTCCCCCTCCTCTCCCATCCTCCCCTCTCCTCTCCTCCTCTCCTCCCTCTCCTCTCCACTCAAGTCCCTTCTGCCCGGGGTTTTGTGGCCGATTACTTTCAGATTTGCAGGGAAGTTAGAGACAGTCAGGAGTTCCCATACGCCCTCACTCGGACCCCCTCACCTAGCATCCGCATTACCCTGGCTGTGCCCCATGTGCCAAACCCTAGGCCTCCTTGGCTGCCCCCAGTCCCTTTTCTGTCCCCGGGGCCTAAGGAGGGTACTGTTGGGTCGTTAGGAAAGTCATGGCAGATATTTCTGTGTTTCTCTATGAAAAACGGGTCAAGACGTTCCCGACCACCCAACGGACGCATCTGGTCCTCGGCCTCCTGACTGCCCGCTCGGCTGTAGCCTCCTCGGCTTCCTCGTTCCAGGGACCTGCGCAGTCTTGAAGCCCTCCAGCCAGGCACCTTGCAGACTGCCCTCCTGACTGCCCGCTCGGCTGTAGCCTCCTCGGCTTCCTCGTCCCAGGGACCTGCGCAGTCTTGAAGCTCTCCGGCCAGGCACCTGACAGACTGCCCTCAGTCTGCGTTTGCTTGGTGGCCCTCCTTCTTGTCTGGGGCTGTGGGCTCTGGAGCTGGCGGCCGCCCGTCCGTCTGGGCACGTGGGGCAGCTCGACCTGGAGCAGGCAAGTTGGGCAGGTTCCTCCCACTTCCCTCCACCCCTCCCGCCCATCTCCTTCCCCTGCTCCCCGCAGCCTCCCCGCCCTGCCCATCCTCACCAAGTCCAGCCCACCCTGGCGTGCTGGGTGGGCAGACAGTGGTTATTTGGAGTTCTTTAAAGACTTGTCCCTCCCCTCCCACGTATCTGCCCCGTCCTCCGGGCAAGCAGTTCACACTCATGGCGGTCCACCGCAAATGTGGGCCCAGTCTGGTGCCCTGTCCCTTGTGTGCCCAACCTCAGCCACCGGGGCTGTCTGGCGGCCCTGGCCTTCGGCTGCCCTCATCTTCCGTTTATGGCCCCTCCTCACTTTCTGGCCCTGCCAGGTGCCCTGAACCAGCCGCCCTCCAGGTTCCTGTCCGCTTCACTGGAGAGTGGTATTTAGAAGCCAGAGTCAGAGTGCTCACCCCTGCTGAGGTGAGGCCTGTGCTTCTAAATTGTGAAATACACCAGCACACGGAGGGCGCCCTGTGCGTGCACGGTTTACCGTGGTCACGAGGAGCCCGGTCTGTCCAGCATCCGCCGTGCTCTTTCCTCTCTTCCTCCCCAAACCTCCCCTTGACTGGCAGAGCCAGGACCAGGGACCCCTCGTGTTCATCCTGTCCTGATTGAGGCTAATAGTGTCTGTGGTACTGGGCCAGCAGCTGCAGGACAGCTGACACCATCCTACCACCCGGGAGAGAACTCTCTAAGCTCCGAGTGGCTGGGGTATAAGGTGTGCTCTCTAAACGCATGCCGCGCTCACTGCCAAGTTGCCACGGGCACACGGAATGCGGTGGGGGGTACCAGGCACTAGGGGCTGATCCTAAGTGTCCGAGCGTGGTTTGAATCCACAACATGTCAGGCACCTGCGAGTGCATGCCAGAGTCCTGAGGGGATGGAGAAACGGGAGAGAGGGTTAGGGTGACCATGCCTCCGGGAGGGCCCTTTCTCTGCCTTGCTCTCTCTGGTGAGCACGCAAGCCCTCTGGCAACTAAAAACAGGAGATAACCTAAATTGGGATGATTTGATACAAAAAAGAATATGAGATGTCTCATTGACAAATTTTATATTAATTACATGTTGAAAGGATATTTTGGAAATGTTGAGTTAAATACAATATATTATTATTATTAAATTTTCTTTATTATTTTTCTTTAATTTGACTAGAGAGAGACAGAGAGGAGAGAGAGTGAGAAAGCAAGCTGGTCTGGAACTCAAACATGGCTGGCCGTGTGGGAGTCCGGCGCTTTAACCAGCAACCACCAGCTGGCCCCGATACAACACACTATTAACATTAATTCCTCTTGTTTCTCTTTATTGTCAGAGACCATATTTGCTTGCAAGAGAGAGCGAGCAAGTGAGAACACCCCGGCCCGTGATCACACAGCAATCTTTTTCTTTTTTTCTCTTTAGTTTGCTACGAGGTGCATGTGCCCACTAGCGGGGAAGGGGGAGTCACCCCTTGTGGGGATGGCCAAGCTACCTTCCCTTCTCCATTCTCCTCTCAGGATTTGGGGCATGTATCATGTTTTTCAAACCGCTATGTGGGATCCATGCCACCTGTTGGCCGCAGCAATCCTCCCTCCGTTTCTCTGCCCTGTCGAGGTTCGGGGCATGCGTACCCATACACTGGGCCTGCTTTACAAGTTGCTGGCACTGAGATTTGAACTGCAGTCAGCCATGTGGGATCCGGCTTCCTATGCATTGAGCTTGATCAGTGTGCTACAGAGCCGGCCCTCTTTTCCCTTCTTATTTTGATGGTTACCAGAAATGTTTCAGTCACACGTGTGGCTTGCGTTAGCTCTTGGACGGAGGTACCTCATAGTGAGCTCCTGGCGACCAGGTGACTGTTAGCACCTGGTGGGTTTGGGGGGTCTTACTCCTGTTACAGAGTGTGCGTGTGTGTGTGTGTGTGTGTGTGTGTGTGTGTGTGTAAGCAGGCAGAGAGAGGAGCACTGCTGACAGGACCCCTACCCCAGCCCTCCAGCCCTCAGGACCTTGGGCACTCGCACACACAACCGGGCACCTTTCAGGCCAATAGGGCGGGGTTCTGGACCCACACCAGCCAGGTGGCCTCTCTGCAGCTCAGGAAGCTGCCCCTGCACCTCTGAGGTCCCAGAGCTAACCCTATCCCCGCCCATTACAGAAGCTGCTCTGGCTCTTGCTCTAAATGGACAGTGGTGGGTGGCCACCTCAATGGTACTTAGAGTCCGTGGGGTGATGGAACAATCTTATTTAAAATATCAACATTTATGATATATAAGAAAGCACATCCTTGGAAACGATTTACACTCAGATGAATCTTTTAGTTGTCAGCTTAAAAAGGGGCAGCTGGACCAGCCCTGTGGGGCAGTGGTAAGCACAGTGCTTCAGGAGCTGGAGCCCACATGGCCCATCACAGTTCAAATCCCAGCCCCGGTGGCTCGCACACCAGTGCATGTGTGTGCGTGCCCTGATGGGTGGAGAGAGGGAGGAGGGGCTGTGGCATGACCACACCCTGCTGCAGGGTGCTCTCCCGCTCTTTCTGGATAGTACACACAACCTGTGGCAATCAAAGGAGTACCAGGGCGGGTCTCCCATACCTTATCCCCGCAGGTCACCCTCTGTCCTCCCCTCCCTGGTCTCTCTCCTGCTGGGCTGATTCGGTGGGGGACATCTATGGCGCCTGCCCTCTGGCTTCAGCTTCGGTTTGGCCAATGGGGGAGGCAGGGCAGGGTGCATGCTTCTGTCTCCTCTGTGAGGTCTAGGAAGGCCAGCCCTGTGGCTGCATGGGAGGCTGGTGCTCCTGCCCTGTGCCCAGCTTCCTGTGTGCTTCCCTAACCCTGACCTCATGTCCAGAGTGGTCCCTTTGTGTAACCAGCTCCTCAAATTGTCCTTCTGTGTGCATGCCATGCATGGCCCCGTGGAAGGAACCCTCACAGATGCAGAGGGGCGAGTTTCGGAAATGTGCCAGTGCGTACAGAGGCACAGGCCGGAAGACTGCTGAGCGGACCGTGACTTGGATGTCAGCGGCACCGCGGTCAGTGCCCCGCAGAAGGCGAACCTCGGGGAGGCCTCCCTTTTCCATAGCAAGCAATGGAGAGACGGACACACAGACACTAAAGGGCAAGGCAGAGAGAACAGTGTGCCTTCCCAAAGACAGAAGTGTGAGCACACCGACGTGGCCTGGAGAGTTGGAGAGGCTTCGGAGAAGAGGCCATCAGAGCAGCCTGGAAGGGCAGCATGAACGGAGCCCGAGCTCTGAGGGCTGCAGGGAGGCTGTTGAGTCATGACCAGGCATTCATAAGGTAGTTGGAAAGAGTAAAGAGCAAAGGAAACGTGTAAATATGATTAACCAGGGTAAAGCTTAGATATGGAAAATGCATGAAAGACAAACTGCAATGTGAATGACTTCCTGGGAGAGGGTCATCGCAGCTGACTGCAGATAACGCCCGGCAGGCAGTGGGGACAGACACAGCGATGGGGAAGGCCGGGAGGCGGCACTTCTCAGAGGGACCGCCAACCTAGCAGAAAAGCCGTGTCATTACTAATCAGGGCCGTGCAGAGACAGCGATTAGATACCACCTCCGGTGAGCAGTGTGGGACAGTGGAGAGACCTGGCACACCACGAAAACCAGGTGACTAAGGTGGTACCGCCAGCAACGGCCAAAGTCACCAAGGTGTGGTGACTTAAATGACTTGCCCAGGGCACGCAGCTGAGGAGCTGTGGAGAGCGTCCACACCCAGACAGCCATGCGCCGAGTCCTCCTATTCACACGTTCTGCTTTCCTGAATTCCTACTATAATGGAGCTCACATTCCAGTGGGGGAAGACAGCAATAAAAATGTATCAGATACGGGGCCAGCTGGCATGGCGGTTAAGGTGCTAGGCTCCCACATGGCTGACTGCAGTTCGGGTCTCAAATCTGGTGGCTTCAAACTCCTGACAGGCGCATGTGCATGCGTGCTCAAGATCCCAGGAGGGGAATGGAGCAGGATCACCCCACTCGGGGTGATTTCTCGTTTTCCCTCTCTCTGTCTCTCTGGTGAGCTCATGCATTCTATGACAAAAAACAAAAACAAAAACAAAAACACAAACACAACTTAAAAAAATCAGGTATTAAAAAATACGCATATCAACAGTGAAAGAGTCCTGGAGAATACGAGGGAGAGATGGACGGGCTATTGCATATAAAGTAGAGTGGTTATGGGGCCAGCAGGTGCTGTGGTTAAGGTGCA